GCTCTTTCGGTGAGAGTTTTGATGACTCCTCTTTTCTGACTGGGATGATGGTTTGAACGACTGTGCAGGTACCGGTCGGTATGTGTCGGTTTTCTATACACCGTGTGGGCCAGCTTTCCGTTGGCTTTTCCGGTCACCAAGACATCCAAAAAAGGCAGTCGCCCTTTATTCTCCACTTCCATAGTGAATTGAATTTTAGGGTTAATTGAGTTGAGGTGCCTCAGGAAGTCTTCAAGTTCAGTCAGACCATGGCCCCAAAATGGAAAATTCAATTCACTATGGAAGTGGAGAAGGATGGGCGACTGCCTTTTTTGGATGCCTTGGTGACCAGAAGAACCAACGGAAAGCTGGCCCACACGGTGTATAGAATAGAGTTCCGTGCAGCTGTGGAAGAGCATACATCGGCACCACAAAACGAAGCATAAACACTAGGATCACGGAGCACAAACGAAGTTGCAGATTGGGACAAAATCTTGAGTCTTACGTTTTGCTTCCAGATTGACGTTTTGCTTCCAGATTCCAGATGTCCTTGGACTAGAACCAAAGACTTTTTCCTTGGACCTCCTCTTAACCATTTGGAACGCTTCCGCGTCCTTTATGCCCAGCTCCTTAAGCTTCTGCTCGGTCTTGCTGGCTTCGATGTCCAGTGGCAGTCCCCTGATCACCACGTGGATCTTTTTGTCCTCCGGCAGCGTCTACGTATAGTACGGCCGCTGGAGCTTTTGCAGGAGGCTGGTAGCTTTCTTAAAATCAGCCGCCGTTTTAGTGGTTACCGCAACCCAATTTTTGTTGGTTGCGGCCTTGATCACTTCTGCAATGAAGGCACCTTTTAGCTGTCTTCAGCTTGTTTGCCCCTGAATGTTAATGGGTGGAACTTTTTCGGGAACTGGGGAGTCAGTCTCCTTCCCCGTTACCTCTATTATTATTGTTTCCTTGTCCTCGATATCATCTCTGCGCCTTTTTCCTAGAGCCTCTAGCTTGCGTCTTTCCGCAGCTCCTCATTTTCCTGCTGCAACTTTTCCATGGCGGTTTTAGCGGTGTGGGTTTCGGATCTCGCATCGGGTGGGCTTACGTTGCGCTTTCACTCACAGGTCGACTAACCAGCTCGGGTTCTCGATTGAAAAATAAAGGTAAAAAATAAATTAAAAAACATCTTCGGGTGAACCAAAATGTGAATCTAAACCATTTTCAAATTCCCTTGAACACACAGAAAAAATGTAATGAAAATCGGCCTAGTCGTTTGGGAGTTCAGTGATATACACACGCACACAAGAAATATATATATGAAGATATAAAATAATCAAAGTTAATAATAAAGTTATTTCAAATGTATTTATCAGGACCACTGCGTTAAGTTTCGTGTTCGAAGAATGCTTCGATGTGAAGGGCTCCAGAACCCAATGGAAGAGCATGAGCAACCTTTGAAGAAGTTTAAATTCAATGATCATATATCTAGTTCGTCTAACGAGTCGAATACTACGTCAGCAAATGTGGGACCATCAAGTAGCTTTCCGAGTAGCTCCATTTCTTGTACGTAAGCCTAAACCAGTTTATTCGTTTGTTCGTTTTCATTATTATTTAGTACCTTTTAAGTAACTGACTTAATTTGACTTATACAAACGGGTTTTGAATAAGGTAAAAATGCAAGGTGGCGTATTCTAAACTATTCTACGTTCCTGAATGACTATTTCATCAATTCAATATTTAACCACTTAATTATCATGACTTTCTTGGAAGCATATTTTCCAGTCAGAAAATAATCATTTTGACATTTTTTAGACCCATACATGTTATGAAATGTGTGATTTAATGCACGCTAATGTACTTAAAAAGCATATAACATCAAATAATTATCATATGACTACTATTTACTATTTTTCATCAAACTCGTTCAATTTTTTTTGTGTTTGCTGCCTTGTTACTTTTCGTATATACGCTAGTGTTATTTTAAGGATCAGATATGCCAAAATGTTGACATATTTTCGTTCAGTATTATTGCTATTATTACTTTTTTGCCATTATTTACCAGATAATCTCTATGAGAAACCAAAGATGACGATTAGTTGAGTATCGATTTCACGATTTGCTCGAGTCTTACAATGTTTTTGTTTTCGTTAGTAAGTTTTTCATGTTTTATATCATTGATATACATTTTGTAACGTACTAGAATCCCGCTGTTTACTCACGGGTATTATACCTAACATTTTTTTGTAATTTATACTTGCGTGCGTAGCGTTTGTATACTGCCAGGTAGTTTAAAATATAAAAGCGCTTGTCTCAATGGATAAAGTCTACCAAAAAAATCTAATTTTCTTTTTAAAACAAGTTAATTGATTTTATTGCAAAGCCGATTGACTGTTGAGGAAATGAGTTGCGCATATTTGTAGCTGTTTTACTTGTTTTTTAATTTTACATCACTTGTTGTGTGTGAGTTGTGAACATGCAACCGCCTTAGTGCCTCCAAACGCCACATTAATAGAACTAAGATTTATAAAGTTAGCAATTTGCTCAATTTAGTTAGCTATTTGTACATAAACTGTTTGAATGAAATATTTGTGCAAGTACACAACAGATGCTTCATTTAACTTAAAGGCAATACATATTTGTAGTGTACTTGGTTTTCAACTTTCGTGAATTAACTCAATGATAACGGTTATTAAGATAGTGTTTCCTTAAATTACAGCCTATTCGCAAAGCAAATTCGAAAATATTATATATAGTCCGGGAGGTAGGGGTCTATTATGAGACGAAAGTGAAGCTCCGCTGGAGCTCTCGCGGCAGTGGGTTCTATGGCAGCACAAGGCACAACATGTAAAGGAAAAAGTTGTTTTGAATAATTTTAGACAACCAGATTTTTTTACAAGTATTAAAGACGTCAGATAATATTTAAAAAAATGTCAGCTGGGTCAGACGGGGAATTAAACGTCAGCTGGGTTTCTAAATTTGTAATAAAAATAATGGAAATTATAAATATTATATAAAAATATTATATTCAATTTTTCACGTTTTGATATTGCCATTAGTCACAGCGCAGATCAAATGTTCAGAAAAATATTTTGCGGTTCTCGCAACATTTTTACTAACTTTTCTCGGATATTTAGTGGATATAACTACTATAAAAATTGATTAGTTTTTGTGGAACTTCGCATTCTCCTTTTATCAAGAAGTCAGTACTACCTCGGGCAATCGTTTAGGCTGGATATTACGAATGCATTGTCTCAAAATTATTACCGCTCGGTTCAAAATATTATCTTCTTTCAAAATATCGAGATCAGTTCTAATTAACACTCCGGCAAACTGTTTTACACTATTAATTTTTTTTGTAAATTTCTTCAATAACCTACTTTCAAAATTATACGGCTCTATCTGTGTTGATTTGGTGGAATCACGATTAGCGACGGCTTCAGCAAAGAGTGAATGTAGAAAAGTTAAAAAAAGACTCATGCATTTTTATAATGTTTTCGGGAACGAAACTGCACACTTTTTTAAAGGCTAATCTATGAATCTCGCGAGTCGCCAGCCATTCGGTCTTCTCTATATTAAATGTTTCTTGTGCCTGCTGCGTATTCTGCAGTACTGCAAGTATAAAATACCTTTGCGGTGGAGCCTTTGTATAATATAAACATCATATTATTCATTAATAGAAATGTGAAAATATTCATCAACTGATTGCTCGTTGGGAAAAAAGTCGTCCATTGAAAATTCCGCGCGTCATAGAGATATATGAACGCAATCATACTTTCTTGCTTGGACTGACGGTCTTTCCGCCACTATAAATGCAGCTGATTGTCATTTTAATATTTCTATACATATCCAAAATCATGTGAACATTTTTCATGCTATTTAAAATAATTTATTTCCTTTATTTTCATTACAAGTTCACACGCCCAGCTGACGTCCCCCCTCTACGGCCCAGTTGACTATTTTTTTAAATATTTTCTGAAGTTTTAATTCATGAAAAACATTCACGTTGTCTAAAATGATAAAGAAAAACTTTTTTCGACATGTTCCTCAGTCTCAGCTGACGGCACTTTTTATCATTGGCTATATGGAATCTACTTTTATTGTTAGTATCTGCCGGCATGAAATGACTAGGTCAAAAAGACTCCTGCCTCCCTGACTGTTAGACCAGTTTGATTCGACGCGAAGACAAAAGCAGAATTAAATTTGTTTCTAAATGGTATCACCTAAGTTTTAGAGTTGTTTTGGTTGCTAATGTCGCAATGACCCTTGAATATTTGGATACTTACACAAGTTAGTTGCACTTATGATTAATTAAATTTAACGCTCGTCTATATTTTTTTCTCAAGATCAACAGAAAATCTACCATGTAAAACGCTCTATTAATATTTTAGATTTTTATTTTTAGCTTTCAAATTAAGCACACCGGAAATTCAAAATATTGCTGTCTTGAGTAGAGTTGTTTTATCTGTACGAATTCTGTTGATTTATTTCCGAAAAAACTTCTTAACCTTTGAGTTTGAGGTTTATTCGAAGAGAAAACGTGATTTAATTACCATAGAGTTGGGTACAAATTTGATTTTTTGAGCTGAATATGTTGCATTACTATGCAAACATTCAGGCTAAAGAAGTATTTCTAAAGATATCATGTGGGTTACCCTCTCTCGAAAAGGTATAATTGGGCTGTTTTTTTTGTAGTTAGATGTTAGTAGACATTAAAAGTGAATTATATTTAAATAATCACTTTTAACTGCAATTGTGTTTTACATGCAATATACTTTAAATGTTATAGAATTTTATCATTATATGTGTTGTAAATGTACCTGTTTAAACGTAAGATATTAATGTATCAGAAGTATGTAAGGTACTACTTACACATGTTGGTGTTTCTATATTTTTGTATTAACCATGTAGTTTAATAAAGAAACGTTTTCATATAATTATTTTTAATGAAAATCTACCTATGCTATGTTTGTTTATGTCTGATAATTATTTTTGCATTGGGAGCTGCAACTTGTCACGTCAAGAGAAGAGGCAACTTATTTTTGTGGCTGATTTTGTTTTTATTTATCGAAAATAAATGGTCAATATTTGTTCATAGAGAAAAACATACACTTTTTAACGCTGCTCAAACAGAGGACTGATAAATAATAAATGTAAAAACATAAGTATTTGTATGTATTTCTTCTATATCTACATATCAAATAAACAGTATAGAAATAAGAATCATTTATTCTAAAATATTTGGCATATCAATACAGTCTTTATGGGAATGAGTTTCCAGGTATCCATTTATATGTCATCTGAGCATTGAATAATTTTTATTGCATGATATAGATAACTGAAGTTCTTCGTGAAATATTTTAAGGCAGAAAGAAGGAAGAAAAGTCTTTTAATATTTATTAGTATTAATTCTACTCTTATTACTTATTGATGTTTGGATTATTAATTTTGTAGGTGTTTCTGATGGTCTAAGCTTTAACTTATTTTGTTTGTTTTATTTCGGCATGTAATAATAGTCGATTATTTATTCTTATTTACAACTCTGCAAGGTCTTTTTAAAAGCAGTTTTTTACTTTTGGTTGTTTGATTCTTAGATTATATTAATATAGACGCATAATAGATCTTATTATATCTGTGGTGTTACCATATTACTTATGACATTAATGTATACAACAAAATACAGTGTCTCAAAATATATATATCGATAAAGCTCTTAGAGAAAATAAGTTATACAACGAATTGGAGTCAAGTAACGGCTTTTTCGTATGGCGGCGGAGGAGACTGGTCATTGTAGATTTGAATTTCTTCTAACTCGGTTTGATTTGTTAATCTAATCGCTATATGATATGGCGGCGGAGACATTTCACGCATACCGGAATCGTCTATGGACAGTTGTGTTGGTCTCTGTGGTTCCTGCTCTTCTGCGTATTCCGTCTCAAGCTAAAAGTAAATTTTTATTACAATATGATTATGTTTTATTTCACGAAGATTACGAAATATATATTTTTTCGCAGGTGGCATTTTATTTAAGTTTATGGTGATATATTAAAAGGGTACTACGATATTCTTTGGATCAAAGGGAGTCGATCTGGCCTAACTTTTACTAAGAAAAAATGTTTGCCTCCTCTGCAATTGATGGTCAATTGATGGAAATTTTCTGTTAATAAAAGTTAAGTCGTATGACATTCATTTGAGCCAAAAAATGTCTCAGTGCCCTTTTGATCGTGTGCTTGCGGGACACTCTGTATAAATATGTATTGGTAGTTATATATTTCTAGTTTAAGACAAAATATCGAATAAATTCCAACTATAGGCGGCGGTGAATTTCTTACTAGATTGAAACAAAAACTGTTTAATTGATTGTTTTCTTATGTTACTGTATACTTTCTCATAGCCGAGCAAATTTAAAATAATCCTTTTCACGTATGTTTTTCTGTGTTCTAAACGTAAAATGAGTATAGGCATGACGAGCCGAACTCGTGACGAATGAGTGCGGCTGTTTTTGACTAACAAGCCGTTTTTTGTGCATAACTTTAGAACCGTTGATGTTATTGAAAAAAAGTTAAATACTTTTTTCCAAGTATTAAAAATACTTACAACTTTTGTTTACCCAAAAAACAAAAAAAATTTGGGTAAACCGCCAATTTTGGGGTTTTTTTAAATTTTCTATAATTAATTTAGTTTTGCTTCAAACAAATCGTACTATTTATAACTGGGTAAGGAGGTCTTGGTACACTTTATAAGTGGTAAAATTTTAGCTTAAAATATTCATAACTTTTTGTTCATTCCTATTTGTTGCTTCTAAATAAGTTTTTTTGAGACGTCCTAGTTGATTAACGAAGGGTAAATTGTTTAAACATTAAGTTGAAAATCAGTAATTTTTCACGTATGTCCGTCGTTGACGGTGTTTTCATTAATGTCGTTGATAAACAATTTCAGTCGCCAAAAATTCCTGATTCTCAACTTAATGTTTAGACAATTTACCATTCAGTAATTAAATTTTCCGTTATTGCATTTTGTAGTATAACTCTTTACAAGTAAAATACAGCCTCAGAGAAGTCTCTACTGGACTATTATGAGTCTAGCACGAGCCGCTCGACAATCACAGAACTTGTCGTGCCTTTTGTTTTCTATGGAGTGTTCTGAATAAAGTACGTTAAATTTTGTAGAAATGTATAAATCATACAGAAATGTGTGGCTCTCCAAAGGCAGATTTTTAGGATTTTAATTATCTTAAGAACTTAAAATAAAATTGTATCAGCCGGCGGTAACTCTGTTACAACAAACTCACAGAAAGGCCGTTCTAAAAAAACCGAATTAAATTATCTATGAGAACATGAAAAGTTCGTGGTAAGCCTTGCCACGAATCTTTCATAGCCAGACCGATAAGATAAATTAGAATGGGGCCCACAGGAGGATTGTTAGTCAAAAACTCTAATCCGACTGGACTATAAATCCATGATTAAATCTTTTTAAATTTTTCAAATCATTTTTATACGTACCAGAATCCACGAAAGGTAAACTCGAACATTTTGTGCGTGCGCATGGTTACATACAGTCGCATAGATCGATAATATAAACAAACGAAGAAAAAACTGGTTTTTTTATTCCGAATGTCGTTGAATTTAGTCTAAGCACAAGAATTTATTCATTTACTAAAGTGCACAATGCGAGTGAACTGTAGAAAATTTCCAAAAATTAATCGGTTGTGGTGTAGTGTGGGGTGATAAAGCGTGTCTGCTTAGTTTATTAATTGGACTGGAATGTTAGTATTGGATCCATTCATCGGATGGTAAGCTGATTGTTTGAGTTATCGTAGTTTTTTTGAATCGGAAAACAATTAATATTTGAGGAGCTTATTTTCAAAACGCAACTTCTAAAAGTTAATTTGATTTGCAGAATTACGCTTTTTCTAAAGCTAGCAAAAAAATGGAAATATGAATTCATTTTCGGTGCCAACAGGAACTTTGGTAACGTGACTATAAAATCCAATGGAAAATTTTGCTAAAAAAATTGGATTATAGTTAGAAATAAAAAAACAAAAAAAGAAAATGCGTTTTGAAAGTAAAATTGTATTTTACAGAGTTTGAAAATAAATTTAAGGATTTTTAATTTCTAAGAAAATTTACTCTAGACTTCATAGGTTAGAAAAAAACGCTTCACTACACTTTCACCCCGGAATCTTCTTCATTGCAGTCACATTCGATCTCTTCATCGGAAATATTCCCTTCTTCATCGACTGGATTTGTGGAACTGCTATTTTCATTCTCTAACAGGTTTTTGCAGGATACCATGCGCTGATCATTTTTCCAGTCTTCGTCGTATAAATTTAATAAACTTTCGGTAACAGATTCATTTTTACATTCCCCATTTGCACTTTTTTCATAATAGTCGGAAACATTTTTGAGATGTCTTCATTTGGGTAATATTCTTCCATTTTTACTTTTATTATTGTATTTTTTGTTTTGCTATTTTTTTCTCTTTTAATAAAACCCCTTTTCATTTGACTAACTCCCATTAGCTTTTTGCAATTAACGTCGCTCATTTACTTAACATCATAAAGGTTCCAGTCTACTCCAAGCTCTCTTACTGTTCCAACCGCTTCCAACAACTTTTCGTAATCTTCTGTTTGTAAAACCTGATTTTGTTTTCCTCACTTGTGAACCTCATTGTTATAACTAATTTTCCTCACTTCCTTGCGTCTTTCCCTTCTATTTTTCGTGCCCTTTTTCTTCTTCCTTGTTCCTTGATTCTTCTCAGACACAACAGCAGTGTCTATGTAATTCTCCATTGTCTCTATTTCCAAAAACTCTTTCGCAGCACAGCGTACGTAACAATGAAAACACGAAGTCTTTGCAGAAATTGCGATTTGAAACCAAAAATGTAGAAATTGTCGTTTTGATAAAACATATTATTGCAGATATTGCGTTTTGCGTATTTAACTAGAAATTCAAGTGACAATCGAAAGAAATGTGCTGCGAGTGGATTGCCATCTCTAACTCAGTAGCGAAATTTTTGAAAATAAGCTCCTCATTTGTAATATAACGTTCTTTTGAACTGATCGTTATACTATTTTAAGGGTGTCATAACATTTTGCATAATTTCCAATCATTTCTTCCGAATATCATTGCTTAATTTTCCAATAAATTATTTTTATATAACTCAAAAATTTACCTGGATACTACGGCGTTCCGCATTTTGCTGATTGGCTATCGCAACATTAGCATTATGTCTTTCGTCTAAATACATGATTATAATTGCTCCTAAAAGTAGTACTATTAAGAGTACGGAAATGACGACCAGCGTTTCCACTCCTAATCGCCACAGTTGCTAAAAAAAATGCATGGAAAGTGTTTTTTTCATACAGTTGGTAAAGTAAGTTTCTTGGCAACATCTACTAGGTGTTTTTAACTTTAACGACAACAAAATTAGGAACGGAAATTCAACAGATTTTTTTACAGTAACTATGCGATATTTTTAAACTTCATTTCGCTTCCAACTTTGCTCATTATTTTTATAATCAGTTTCCTAAAGATATATGATTTATCATCACGTTTTTAACTCTTTCTACAATGCAGTGCGAGTCTCTAACTTGGAACAATATCCATCAATCAAAAACAGGTCTTTCTTCTACATACTTCTATTTGGACACGTCGATTAGGATTTTCAATTGGCTTTTTTCCATAAAAGAGAATTTTATACAGCGTGCTTCACATTTGTCATACTGAGTTAATTCCAAGTGAGAGACTCGCACTGTATAGATAGTATAGATCACTGTTGAATCAAAACTTGCAATAAACTGTTATATAACAGTAGTTACACAAGACGCGGTTATTGAAAGATACCCTGTATATTTACAGGCATCCTGTAAGTCTGTGTTTGCTTGCAATTTGCTGAAATTACCTTCGTTTTTATATTCCAGATATTCGATTCTTCTTCAGTAAATATTTTTATAGCAATGCCTTGATTGAATAGGCATATTGAATATCTGATAACTAACTTAGCTTCTAGACAAACTCCATTCAATTTATTTTCAGATCCAGTCTGATATTTTAGAGAATTGAAAAATTGATTCGATTAGTCTTTTAAATATCTTAAATTTATTGATACGATCCCATTTGCTCATAGTAGATTGATAAACTATTATTTGTTATTCATAAAAAAATCGCGATTAGAAGAATAAGAAATAATATGTTTTATATATTTTAGAACTCTTAGATAGAACTTTAGAAGAGAATTTTTTTTTTGATATACCGTATGACCTGAATAATAATGTATTCTATATGGCTTTCATAAACATTAAGGACTACAGCAAGAAACATTTGCAGGTCCAAAGTTCGCTGTACTGAATTCTCTTCATATATACAGTGTATATAGTTAGTTCGTACCATACGGGATTTTTTTTTATTATTAAACAGACTTTTTTCGATACTAGACGAGGTGTATCAAATCATATGAAGTTTGCTCAAGAATCAAGTACTTACCTACCTTTATTTCTGACAAACAAAATTGTTAGTAAGAAAAGTTGGCTAGAGTTGAAAAGTAGGTTCAGATATCTAATTGCACGTATCTATTGTTATTTTTAAGTTGGTTTTATATGGGAAATTTTTATTATTAATTTTACGAAGAAAGTTACCCTTCATAAAAAGTTTTGCATGTTCTAAAATATAAAACACAATCATCAGATATAACATTTTTTGAGTCGTATTCGAAGTTTGTCCGAAAATGTTAATTTTTTTTCCTATAATTGGGTGTAATTGCATATTTGAACAACGTTTTTGGTTCTAATGAACTTTCATTTTAATAACAATTTTCGATTTTGTCCGAAAATAAAAGTACTTTTCTCTTGAGCAAATTTCCTGTTTTCTGCTTACTCGTATGTTTTACCACTTTGGAAATACAGGAATAATGGAGAATAATAAATTAAAGACGGTTTACCCCTGTGCTTAAATAGTTGGCCCCAAACAAGACACATATCGCCAAAAATGCGAATCCCAATAAAGCTAATTTAAACTTGTGAATGTACAATTCCAATTCGATATTTTCGAGATTTTGTGCATTCGTTTCCTCATGGTCCACATCGACAGATATCTCTCTTTCTATCCGTACATTAGGTGAACTAAGAAAACAAAAATACTATTAATTTTCTAATTTACCAACTAAAATACTTTACAGGGTGATTACTGAATTATTCACCAAACTTTATATATAGGGTGCTACTTTGAATCCAAATAATAGAAGAATAGAAGCCAGAGAAAGTTGAGTGGTGATTCAGTGAGCACTCTGTAGGTGTTTTTTGCAAATTTTAAGTACCCTAGACCTACGTATTATAATAAACAACGTGTGCATTAGAAGTGGCTTGTCTATTCGGGCGATGGCCTGGAGATGACCTGTTGTATCGCAGACCATTGTTGGACACACTTTCTAACGACTGGAACCGACGAACTGGTGTTACCATGGGTTTGGGATAAAATCCCCTGGGATGCCTGGCTAAATAAAAAATCAGGACGCCAGAAATAAAAGGTTTTCGGTTTATTTAGAGCCCCAAAAAATCGGCTGCGGTCACCGCCTGAGCAAGTCTAGTTGAGTCACATTTTGCAATTGCACATAAAACTTACAATTTTGGACTTCGAATTAATTGTTCCACTCGTACAGATGCTTTGGTGTATTAAACCATATATTTCAATGTAAAGTTAACGTTGTTTTTGTGGGAGCTTTAGACAGTGTGTTTTTAAAATTTTAAAGTCGTGTTATTTTTTGCTAAGTTTGAGCGCAATAATTTTTTACCCGATATGTATAATTGGAACTTTCCAATTTAATTTCTGCCTAGAAGCGGAAACTATTCATACTTTGTCGTTCTTTATAATGCCATCTTTCATTTTAAATATCAATACCATTTAATTTAATAAAAATCCGTTTATATATTTCTTCTAGCATCAAATTGTCGTTATGTTAGATTATTCGTTGCTTTGATCACTGTACTAAACCTTATAATATATTACTGTTTTCAAACAGAAAATACGAATATACAGGGTGGCCATTTTCTGAATATTTGTATGGGTAACTTCTACATTTTTAAAGATAGAGAATCCGTTAAATGGGCAAAATTGGGCAGAATTCGAATGCCTATTCATTACCGTTTTCAAAATTTAGGTACTCGACCTCGGTACTCGGTTTCTGAAATATCCTGAAAAGACACTTTTAATTATCATATAATTCGTAAACTGCTTAACTTAGAAAAAAAGTTAAAATTGTCTTTCGGAGAACTTTTTGCGTTGAATTCAATAAACTAGGACTCGTTGTCATAGTCCACTTGATTTACGAAATAAAAAATAAATTTTTGTTTTTCTAAATGGTAATCACAGTTGGCTGTGGGCCTTTTAAAATCCTTATTTTTTTCTGAATTTAACGATATAACTGTTTGTATGTTTTTCTTCTTTTGTTGCCGTAAAACTTCAAAAGAAGATAAAAATGTGTAGTAGACTATGGAAACAAGAACTATATTATCACACAAAGCACAAAACAAAAGTGAAATAATTAACAGACACAATCATGTTTACTGGGCTAATGAAAATACGCGAGATCAACGTGTTTTTTCTGTGAATGTCTGGTGAGGCATTTTTAGTGATAAAATTATTGGTCCATTCTTTTATAATCACAATTTAAATATGGAAAGATATTTACACTTTTTACCAACTGAACTTGTTGACAAAGACATGTTGAATAGTTTTCCGTTAGTATCGTATCGAAAATTGGCATATTTTCAACATGATAGTGCACCTTCACACAACTCACGAGTTGAATGTGAAGATGTCAAAAAATGCCTGGACGTAAACGGAAGTCAATTTGAACATTTAATTTAAACGATTCATTATTTCATTTTTGTTCAGTGCTTTGTGTGATAATATAGTTCTTGTTTCCATAGCCTACTACACATTTTTTATCTTCTTTTGAAGTTTTACGGCTACAAAAAGAGAAAAACATACAAACAATTACATCGTTAAATTCAGAAAAAAATAAGAATTTTTGTAGGACCACAGCCAACTTTGATTACCATTTAAATAACCATAAGTTTATTTTTTATCTCGTAAATCAAGTTGACTATGTTAACGAGAGCTAGTTTATTGGATTCAACGCAAAAAGTTGTACTACGGTTTTAACTTTTTTTCTAAGTTACGCAGTTTACGTAATAAGTGATAATTAAAAAAGTGTTGATTTCTTGTCATTTCAGGATATTTCAGGAACCAAGTCGGGTACCTAAATTTTGAATACGGTAATGATTAGGCAATCAAATTCTGCCAATTAACGGATTCTCTATCTTTAAAAATGTTGAAGTTACCCATATAAAGATTCAGAAACTGGCCACCCTGTATAGGTTTGTGTAAGTTTTTATATTAAATATATTCAGCCTACTGAAAAGCTAAACTCAATGTTTATTAACTGCAATTAAATTTAGAAAATGGTGAAAAACAGTGGTTCTAATCCGATTTTTTTATATTTACAAGAAAGCTAGAGCTTTGAATTAAAACACATTTGGGTCCAACAATAAAATGGATTGCGAGATTTCTCTATAAAATTTACAAAATATAGGTACTAAGCAGCAAATAAAATAGAACACCAAAGGAAAGAAAAGCCATAGCCTGTGAAACAAGCAAATTAATTGTTTAAGATGCGAAAATCAATCGTATTTCATCTGCCTTATCTTTTTTTAAAAGTATTTTCAACTAAGGATAACAATAAACGAAAAATACCGAAAAATTACCCAACAATTTTTTTTGCGAATCGCATCAATTTATATCATTAATTGTGTATTAATAATTAAAAAACAACACTTTGTGTCTTAAGAACGAAGCATCTTAAAGAGCATCAAAGTTTTTGCCGTAGGGAGAAATGTTCTTTAGAGGCAGAGGCTTTTGATTCATAAAATAGTGATTACCTACCAAGGTAATTTGCAACAGCCTCAGGCGGGGGGCGAACTAAACGACAACTTCTCGGCCAATAATGCCCCTGCTGGTTTCCTTTGTTTATCCAAAAATGCATTGGGCAATATTTACGCTTTAGTTTCTCTTATACTTCCCCATATTGACCTCACTTTATCGCATAAAACGTTCAATTCACTCAACGAAACCATGGCGCACTTGTCTGCTGCAACACGCAAAGAATAATTTCCAATTGTATATTTTAAGATCTATTTATATTTCGATCGGAACGACTTACATTGTTTTGCTTTGTATTCTGCAGTGCGCAAATTCAGTTGGATGGGAAACGCAGGAAAACAAAACTCTGGATAGCAGATATTTACATTAGGGCCGCTCAGCGCGCATGAATCGGCGTCTAAATATCAGAAAAGTCGACGCTGAACAGAGGCGTCTCTTACAGATTTTGAACCAAAATCCCTAACAAACAATCCGCTATGTTTAGTAATGAAAATTAATTTAAACAGTGGCTCTAGAGCATGAACACTTGCCAAATTAGGAAGTTGAATACTTTAAATCACACCCATAGGTAGTTATCAGTTAAAATAAAACTTCTTATTAATTACAATCACTTTTATTTCAGCTGAACATGTTTAAATCCAAGATTACAGAATAAAAAAGCTTTCATTAAATACTTTTTCTTAATCTAAATATTGATAACTCTGGATAACTTTTGCACTCGTTGCAAAAGTAGATCGCCTTGTTTGACGACCGAATTAAATTGTGCGTTCTTTAGATCAGGTCTATTCGTTTCAACAATTCCTCCCACTCGATCGATCTTACAATGAAGTCTTCCAGTTGCGATAAAAGTAGATAATTCCCTATAACAATAAATACTGAATAAGTGAATATAGATTAATTTGATAAAGCAACATAAACATATTGTAGGTGATGCACGACATATTTCCTTTCTCGAAACACATATATTTTTTCGTGATAGCACGTTTTATTTGAAACTGACAACCTTAAGTATCTTAGAAAAAAGTTAATGCTACCCTAATACACTTACTCATCAATAAATTCAGTAGTGACACCAAACGCATCAGCCATATATTGCAAAGTTAAGCTTCGATAAGACTCCAAAAGTTGTGTGTATGCCAAAATCTTCATTTCCCTAATGTAAAATCGGTAGTGAGGATTCATGAAATAATCCTTTCTTAACACTTCTTCCACTTTAGCTATAAAACAATAAGAAGAGTTAGGTCAAAAGACTTACTTGATTCCTATTGGCAATTACTTACCTAGGTTAGTAAAGAATTCAGCATACTGACAATTATACAATGAAAATAAGTACTCCTTTACAAAAGGTTCTGAATGTAAAACCTCTAGAATTTCAGAACCTTTCACAACCTAGAATCAAACAGTGTAAACAGTAAGGTTTTTAAATAATTAACGAACTTCCTTTCATACCTTATCTCTTAGTTGATTTCGGGGTAAACTTATAATTGACGTATAAACTGTGTACCTAACGAAGGCTTTATAATCCATGAGTTCATATGACGTAAAGGTGCTGACGGTGTCCAAAAGTAATGTAGCTGCAGTTTTGAAGTCTCTTACTGCCATGCAGTACGCACCTTGGTAGACTTTCAATCGATTACGCCTGTCCCAATCTCCACCTTCTTCAATAAGACTAAAATTTTCCAAGTTTTAATTGATTCCATAAACAGTTATTATGCAATAGTGTTCCATAATGATAATCATATTCTTAAAGCGTCTAAAATATTTATGTATTGTACATATCTTGAACAGAAATAAATATTATCATTTTCTCGTTCACCGCTTTTAAATGAAAAAATCTAGTTCTTGGTTTTACTTCTCTTAAACAATTTACTATATTTTAGGCCTGAATACTTTTAACGCCACATTTCTTTAAGACACTACTAATGGTTGGCGTAATTTTTGAGGCAATTATGTGAACTTATCTTAGATACTTTCCTTGCTTTGCTTTAAATATTTCGAATTGAAATTGCTCATTTTGAAATGCGATTATTTTCGTGAATTACTCACGAAGTTGCCTTCCAAACAATTTTCTAAAATATTTGTACAATATTACGAAACACCAGGCATGTGAAAAATTTCTTGATTTTAACAATTCAAACGCATTCAATTGAATTTTCCCATAAACACTAATAATTCGCTCATTTCTTAGAAGTTCGTATTTAGTAGTTATTTTATTATTAAAGCAAATAGAAGTATTCATGTATAAAAAAACCATGAGATGTAAACCTGCCTTACAAAGAAACCGTATCCGTTTGTTTTTCATTCCAGTAATGAATTCGGCATTACTGACACCAACCCATATGTATGAATTATTACCTTTTGGCTTTATCAATATTTCTTGTAATAAGATCATGGTCCATAAAAAACAGTCCAATTCTGATCAAGTGGAAAATTATATCCAATCTATGTCCTAAGGACACAGTTTTATCGTAAGTTTGCCTGAATGTACTGACTGCGTTGTCCTTGTCGCCTATTCTACTGTAATATTCAGCTTTCCTTAGATAAGCCTCTCGGACTTCCATTTCTCCCAGGTTCTTTTCAGCATCTTCAATTGCATCATTTAGTTTCTTCAACTGTTCTTCATTCTTTGCCTTGAGAATTTTAAGAAACTTCTCGTCCATTTTCCAATCGGCATCCTGGCAAATGAGTTCATACCAGGGGGCCATATCTGTGCAACAAAACGTACAGGTTATGCGTAGGTAAAACAAAGATTATTGGTGCTAATGGACTGTTGCTTATTAAAATTAGTGCGGATACAATGATTAGTTTCTAATATTGATTGGGTATTGTTCTTCTTACCATCTTTTTTGATAGCTTCTGTGATTTTTGCATGTACACTTTTGTCGTTCTTGAACTCGGGCAATGTCAGTAGGAACTTGAAGTGGGTTAGTTCCAGGTCGGGATTCTTTTCCAAACCTTGATCTTCCAGGTTTTCCATAGGCATTTTGAAGTTGTTTTAATTTAACTTTCCACTGAACAAAACAAATTTGAAAGGTAGATCACGGTGACGAGCAAAATTGTATTTATTGACAATATTGACGTTGGCGTTTTCCTTGCTATGTGAAGTTAACAGCAGTTGTTAAACTTTACTGTTTAGGAAATGCTTAAATATTATTTTTTTAAAAGGTTTATCTCATCTATCTTAGGTAGGTCTTATATGGTTAAAATGCTGCCAAAATACGACAATTAAATTTTTAAAGAAATTGAAATATAAGTGAAATATATATAGCATGTATGAGGCAACCAAGTATACACAAATTAGTACTAGTGATAATTTGCAACATGCATTCGGGGACATATTTTCAAGGTTGTACATGCAACTCGCATCCACCACTTGGTCAAGAAAATACGTATTATGGTGCAAATTAACTCGCAGATTAATTCACAAAATAAAAACTAAAACAGAAGTTGCACCGCTTGTAGAATAATTAGGTATATTTTTAAATTTATTGCTATTATTTGTTTTATCTCTGTTACTTACAGGGCTAGTCAAGTGGAAAAGCGATTTTATATTATCATTTCCACTGATCTGAATGAGAACCTGTGTGAGAATTTTAAGGAGTGATAAGTTAAGAACCTTATTTACTTGTTATTTTGATTTTGTGCTGATAAACTATATGCTCCAGCATAGCAGGTTGCATAAAAAGCCTGCGGGTAATTCCTCGAGCTCGAAATGATTATGAGATATAAAGACGCTGAGAATGAAATTAACATAGAGAACATACCACTTTAACGTATTTCTTGTTCCATAAGTCTATTTCTTTAATACACTCCGGTGGTAATTGGATATTGCAAAATTTCAAATTTGTAGATGAGTTTACATTTTATTTGTTCGGCTATTTATTGACAATTTTTTTTACGTAAACCTTTTATCGAGATTTTGTATCACATATTTGCTAAGCTGGTTGATTTAGAAAATGGAATACGGAATTTGCAATTTAATAATTTAAAAACTTGTTTCTGTTTCAGGTCTAAAATACATGATAATATAAATATAAATAAAGGATAATCAGAATATGTCAATTAAAATAGGAAAATACATGGCAAAAATGCAAAGAGAATAATTTCTTTTAAATACTTGGAATGGAGCAAAAATACGTGATTTTCAAATTACTCATTAGTTCTCTTGACGTCTCTAATCTATCCATTTATTTCATTTTCAATGGGCCTACTTCTTTTGTGATTTCCAAAGTTTTTTTATATAAGTTATAATAAATTCCCACTCGTCAATTCATTATGTTTGGCTATAAAAACAATTTGCCTTTTCTAGATTCCAAATTGTGCTAGAGTGATGGTCAAATAAAGCGTTACAGTTCAAGTGTAAATAATTGTAGTCAGGCTTTTGAGCTATTATTTTGTTTTCATGCAAAAACGTCTCCACGTTTTTCAACTCTTTCTCACAAACAAACATATTCCAACGCTGAGCTGAACACCCGGCAGAATAGTGCGAGATATATTTAAAGCGAATTTAAGTTATCGATAGATTACCGCATCTAATGATAAATGTACTAAAAAACATCTACAAATGAAGTTGTAGACGAAAAAAGCATACTTTAAGTACCTACGTAAAATTGTAATAGGCATTGCGTCGTTTATTTCAGAGTCTTTTCTCAAATTAGTTACTTTTAGGGCCAGTTCGATGAAAAAAAGCAAATGAAAAATGTCACTTTACGTAAAATCTATAAATACATTTCAAAATAATGGATTTACCAAGAGTAATATGACGAGTGCTATGAAAATTAGCGATAATTTTTGGGTAATTTGCCCGAATGCCTTCCACAAACGCACGAGTCCTTTTTTCAACCTTATGGCATGTGGTCTCTCCTTAACAAAATTTTAGTTTTTATGATATTTGAACGATGCATAAAATTAAAAGGTAGTTTAATAGATTAATTTATTTCTCGAGTTCTCACCCTGCTTGAAAAATGTAGCTACTTACACTGAAACGTGGACGTGTCTCCTGAAAATTTGTAGAAAATTATTCTCTTATCCGCCGGTTAATTTATTTCCGTGAAAGTCTCTACCCTGTACATAAACATTACGCATGTGAAAAACCAATATTCAGAAGGTAAATTGGAATAAATTCGAATAAAACGAGTTGGTTACACACAATATAATATTTATTCGAGTAGGTATTGGTACAAATATCGTTGCAATGACTTTTAAGTACGGTTTATAACTCACACTTTCATAATTACACATACCTACAGGGTGGTGCAATAATACAGATACACAATAGTTGCGCATCCTTGTTCCATGGCTGAAACGATGTCTAATATTCTTTACTCTTTTATGGTTATTAAGCAGCTGTGGGAAAATATTTATATTGCATTTCGATTATCGCTTTGGAAACATTCTCATGCCAAAGATTTTAGAAAAACAATTTAACATTTATAACTTTGACCTTATCCAGAATACAAATGTCGCTAATTCGACATTAAATCTTGTTTCTTATGTTTTCGTCTAAATTGCATACGACACACAATTGTAAATTTTAAAATATAATTTCCTAGTAAGTATGCTTCTAAATTGCACCACCTTTTCACACTTAAGCGTATAATATTGATCCCTATACAATCTCATATTTATTTATGTTATGCATTTCTATCACTAGTGCTTACGTTTAGAGTAAGCGTCAATATAAATTGCCTCAAAATTATAATGGAAAGAAAACTTTGCCTTAAGAAATATTGACTTACATTATTAGTCTTATTTCAAGCTTAGTTTTAGGTATCTACAAAGTTTTGAGTGAATGTGCATCTATCCGAAAAGTCGAAGGATGAATATGTAATTATAGAATAGTTCTTCTGGAAGTTTTTCGATGCACTGTGTAAATATTAATTAAGAAACAAGATAAGCAGGATTAGTTTTTTAGAGTTTTACTGCAGTTTCACTGCTACTTTTGCTGCAGCAAAAACTATTAATTAAGAATTAAGGTGTTGAACTAGATAATGAAGCCGACACATTAGATGTTGCTGTGCTAAAATCTTTGAGAAAAAACTTCATGTTGAAAAATACAAATAACAAATAAAATGCAAACATTTACATATTTGATAAACAAACAATCAAAAACTGTTGCAACCTGACTTTATAATATTTGCAGCTATTTGGTAATTAAATTACCATATTTCAAACCTTTTAAAATTAAAAAACCAAGTGAAGTGCAATATTAGATTACTCTGTGATGGATGATGCGATGGTAGTAGAAAATTACTAAAATATACTTAGACTTGTGACTACCGCACTAAATTTAATTGAAGTTACACTACAATTAACACACAAGATAGCAATTATAAAATAGCTGAATTTTGCTCTTATTGATCCGTTTCAATTATAATAGCTACTATTTTTTTATCTTCAAATAATATATGCAATAACCCTATTCACACATGCTTTCACAGCTTTTAGAAGTTTCACGAAATTACTTTCTACAATTGCATATTCGTAAATGCATATGCAAATTATTATTGATCAGAAATTGCCTTTACCTACGAAAATGAGAAATACAGGGTGATCCATTGTTAATTGAAAATTCGAACGCTGACGATACCGCACATCAATAGTATATTTATTGATTGCAAATGCGTTATCCGTTTAAATTTGATTGTTCAGAAAATATCGAGTGTTTTGGTTCTTATTTTGAAAGCATCTAGAATATTTTGAACATGAAACAAATTTATTTTACTATTTTCGTCAGTGTTTAGCGACTTTTTGGACTTAAAATGACCGTTTACTATGTACCTATGTACAAGTTAAACTGCCAATTAAATAAGGTAAATCAGTTATCCATTTCCCACGCATTATTTTCATATTTTAGTTACCTCTTTGTGCGTGGGCCACCCTGTATATGCCATGAAAAATTTTGCTCTAAACAAATGGAGTTAGGCATATACTGTTTCTATATGTATTTGATGATAGTCAATTTAGCTTAGGATTTGCACTATTTAAAAGTTAAACGACTTACTTGTAGAACTTATTTTTCATTAAATGCAAAATTTTCAGATTGAATTATAAATAATGTTCATAAAAAACGGAGCGGACAATATTGCAAAGTGTAAATGAACAATTTAATACTTATTGTAGCACATCCTGATAGTTTTCTATGGTAAATCAGTCTTTAGGCTTATGTACACAATATCCGTTGTGATTGTAAAAGTTGTCTTACAATGAAATGGTTTCCTATATAACTTAGCAAATTGTATAGCAGAATACTTTCGGTTATTTGCTTCAATTTTACTATCTGACGAATAATATTTTTTCACTTTTCTTTAACTTTCATTTAATCACAATCTGCAACTTAAAAATAGATGCAACCAATAAGTTGGTAATGGTAATATGTGGAAGGTTTCTGGTATTTAAATTCGAAAAGGCTTTAGTTCCATTTTGTATTCTCACAAATTAATTTCTGGAAGTAGATTTGTATTCTCTACTCAACCACTGATAATGGAACTCTGCGCTTCTCATAATCAAAAATTTAAAATATATTGACTAATTGATGAAATTGTTCTCATTTGGAAATATAGGCACAGCTAGGAAAAGGCAGACTGATATGACCGATAGCTAAGGGTACACCGATTTATATTAAGAAACTAGACATCCTAGCTAAGGATTAAATATAAACAGTCATTATAGTGGTCTGAGAGTGACTTACATATAAAGTTGACATCCTTTTCATTACAATTGTAGTTTAATCTATGTGTATAAAATTGAACAGCATAGCTAAAAACTTTAGACAATTGTTCATATTTTCAAAAATTTATAATTAAATAGTGTTGAGCGTTTCTTAACAAAGTTTCAACTTTACTAATTGTATCTAACATATTATAATAATTATGAAATACTTTCAATGATTTTATGTTATAGCATTCAAAGTTGCAGAACTTAGTAAAATAATGAAAGAAACTTGTACTTTCTAAGAAACATATTAACTTGTAAACTTTATTCCCAAACTGCCTTAAAAAATTAGGTATCAGTATCTGATGTCCAGATTTACTTAACACACACTAGTAAATGATTAAAAATAATTCTCCAGGTTCACCGAGTAATTTTTGATTTTAATTTTTTAATTTTCTAACCTTTCTTAACATAGCAGTAATACTTTAACTAACGTAAATCGATTTTTTCTGAATATTCGCGTACTTTTTCGAACATTTCACATTTGCAGGCAAATTCACTCGAATCACTTATTAAGATCTTCGTGAGTTGCGTTTCAAAACCATAAAGTTTTGTTTCCAATTTACAGTAATCAAAATTATCGATATTACTTTTTGTTCACTGAAAGCGATTCAACTGATGAAGTACATTTATAATTTTATACAATCTGTTTTTATAATTTGAATGTTACAGTTTCAAAAAATACCGTTATATGATGAAAATAAAATAAAGTTTTCTTGCCAATAACTACTTAAAACCGGCATAAAAAACGTCGTTTTTTATGTCAAAACTAACCTCTTAATATAAACAATTACAGTCGGAATTAAATATCTTGAATATATAAAAGTTTAATTCGAGGCCTGTGAAAGATAGTTAATTAGTCCACATCACATCATTATATTGCCTTCTATAAATAAAAAAAAGTAATGCGTTTTTTTGTTTCTAATCAGCATATTTTCTTGTTTGCATCCAAAAACAAACAAATAAAATTTTTTTAAAAGTGTTTATTATTTTTATAGTCTGTACCTGGTGTCGCAATAAGAATGGTAAGCGACTGTATCTTGGAAAGTATTTGTTGTAGAGCGTTCGAAAAAAAATGATCACAATCTTGAAGAAAAGAATTTGCTGGAAATTATTTTGAAATTTCTCAGATGACCGCTAGATGGCCTAATTGCAGACGGTATTTTAAAAAGTCGATTTTATACAGAAATAGTCTCGATAAGTGAAACATCTATTATGTTTAGTCAAAAGATTATAAAAAACCGTACTACTTTCCTTACAAACTTTTTTTCAAAACCTGTCAAATAAAGGGTGGGGGGAGAGTTAAACCGCTTAATGCAAAGAAACCTGTAAATCTGACACGGCTTTACCGATTTCAATAGTTTTTACTATCAGTTGGAAGAGCAATAAAAACTCTACGATATGTAATATAAAAACAATCTTAATCATTTTCGAAAGATCCGCTGTTCAAAAAATTTCGTTGTTTTAGTTTTTCACAAAATTATCAAATGCTATTTTGCACGCATTCGAAATCACAGTTTTGTTTTTATATCACATATCGTAGATTTTTTATTCTCTGTCAATTGATAGTAAAAACTTTGAAATCGGTAAAGCCGTGACTGAGTTACAGGTTTCTTTGAAACTTGTTCTTGACAAGTTAGGAAACAAGTTCATAAGGACAGTAGTACAGCTTTTTATGATCTTCTGACTGATCTATAAAATTACTAGATTTTACACTTATCGCAACAATTTCTGTATAAAATATAGTTTTTAAAATATAGTTTGCAATCTCCAAGATACAGGCGCTTATCATCCTTATTGCGACACCCGGTATATTCTTATCAACAAACTTTCTTCAAATAAATATCTGGATGTTGAATTGACTTTTGATCAAATTTTGCAACCGTAAACCGAAAATTAAATTAAATTAAACGGTTTGCTTAAGGAGAATTGTTTTCGTCAACTAAATAATATGCAACTCACAAACCAACTAAATGAATTTGAGTAGCACTTACAAATTGCCCAGTATAACTCAACAACCATTTTCTTAAAAATTTCAATAGTTGAGCATTTAAAATTGAACACAAATTTAATAAACAACAAATATATATATTTTTTTTTACAAACTTTTTTTTGGGTATTTCGGCTCAAAAATTTTTGTCTTTAACAAAGACAGAATTTCCTCACGTCTTTTATTACAGATTGATAAATAGTGCTCCTATTTCGCAATAAGAACGAATTATTTATCAAAAAGTAATCAAGAACTATCACCTAGAGGGTATCCTGCGAAACACTTGTAAGAGTAACGACAAGTTGTAAGAGAAAATTCCAATTAGTAGAGAAATTAATTTGAAAAATTACCTTGACGTTTCGATAGCTATTTTCCACTATCGTTATCAAAAGAACCTAAATGAACCTAAAAAAGAGTATGTTAATAAATTGTGTAACAATAGTAGGATAATACACTATATGAAAATTCGCTCTGATAATTCGTCTGTGCAAATTGTCAGTTATGTGACTGATTTAATCTCATTGTTTAAATTAATAAAGGTAATGTTAATTAATAATTTTGGTGTAAATTTAATTGTAATTTGGGTGTATGTTTCTCTGGTCTACTTCA